ATCCCGAAAGGAACACTAGTACGACGACTTCTCAGCTTAAAATGCAACCTTTCAACAGTAGCGGACGGAATGGAACGAAATATATTCAGGTAAGGCCTACTTTTCATCCTGATATCCTCATTTTCAATTGAATATTTGGACCCCATGCGGCACAGTGCATCATTTATAAAGAGGAAAGCAAAGGTGAAAGATGCTCAATTACCATATTTATCTACGGACAATCGGTATGCGGGAACGGTCAGCAATTCATTCCCCAACTCACTCAGGAACGCCCCAAACTACACATGGCAATTTCTCAATAAGCCTATATTCACCTCGCCTGTAACAAATCTTAAAAGATCTCCTTACACGGATGTATGTAAGGGATTTTCCGACGCACCTTGCCTTTACGCCGGAACCTCGATATTCCCTACCCCATTGTAACGTGCGAGGCCTACAAGATTCAGCCTATATAGGCCATAGGCTACTCGGAAAGATCCACAACACAACACTGAGACGTCTAGCGTCAACGTTATATTTGGCCTATGGACCAGAGAGGCAGAGCCCTGTAGCCCTAGCGCGGTAATTGACGCGAAACACGATTATGTAGTGTTCTACCAAGGGATTAATGATGACGTGTGGTGTGCACTGATCCTTAAAGTGAATGAGAGATCGTCGACGACGAACGAGTCTTGCCAGCAGAAAGTCAATTAAATCGTTTAGGTACAACGTCCAAAAATTAGCATCGAATTCCATCACATGTGGAAACACGGGCTTTCAGGACAATTGGACGAGGAGGTTGTGGCAGGTGCGGTCCCTGGCCCACGCGGTAGATATGGGGTTGGAAGATACGGTCATTATATTAGGTCATTCATCAGACAGATCCCTAAGGATGGGTTTATGGCGCTCAAGCAGAAAGAATATGCACATGCAATCGAACCCCTAGCTCAGTGTTTCCCAAACTTTTTTGGGCCGCGGCACACCTATCTCACCCATGCGAACTTCGCTGTACACCAAGCATAAAATCATAACGAAGGAGCCTGATCTGTATTTAATGTGACACCTGAGCCTGCTTTCTAGAACAGAGGCGCTTGATCCTGGGTGTAATGGTCGAAAGGGCAACTCTCATCTCGGGGTCGACGGTTGTCCCTTCTGTTGTTCTTGATGTGTGAGTTGAGCTTCTCTGCACTGGCTCACAAGTACGTGGTCGAAAATGGCAACAACGCTGAGACAGCACGGTCGGAGATTGTTGGATATTCATTCTTTATCAGTAGCCAAAATATGTCTAGCGGCACTTCCGCGAACTTCATCTTCAATGTGTGGTCCATTCTAAGTTCTGTAAGTTCCTCTTGAGCCTTCAGTGGCAGCTTCTTCGCAGATTCAAACGAAGACGGACTGAATGGGTCCCGCACCCAGTCAAGTTCTTCCAGGTTTGTCGACCGGAAGTTGGAGGAGAATTTTTCATGAAGAGTTTCAAGGTGTTCTGCGATAATCTTCGGTAGCTTGCTAGCAGTGTCAGCTGCACTCGCCAGGGGGAAAATTTCGATTGAACCGCATGCCACTTGTTCACGCCAAAGGGCTAGTTTTGCCATGAAACCATCCAATATTTCCGTGCTTGTCAGAAGGTTTTCGTTTCTGCCTTGAATTTTCTTGTTCAGCTCGTTGAGATGTGCCAAGATATCCGCAAGGTAGGCAAGCTTCGCGGTCCAGTCTTCTTCGGAGATTAAATCTGTGTATGGCGATTCTTGCAAAGTTAAGCTCATTCCGGAGTTCACAAACACGAGATAGAACTTTGCCACGAGACAACCATCGCACTTCAGTGTGCAGGAGCAAGGATTGATGTTCTGTTACCATCTCATCGCACAGAATGGAGAAGAGGCGAGAATTCAGAGGCCGTGATTTTACAAAATTCACGATCTTCACAGCTTCATCTAACACTGACTTGAAGCCCCTCTGGCACAGTTTTAGCCACGAGGAATTCACGGTGTCGAACGCAGTGGTTCACCTGTACATCGGCGTTTCGCTCACGGACCTTGGCCACAAGCCCCTTCACATTGCCTGTCATCGAAGCCGCGCCGTCGGTGCAGATACTAATGCAGTTTTCTCACTGCAAATCATTTTCCCCTCAAGGTAGTAATTCATGACTCGAAATATTTCATCTCTAGTCGCATGCTCCGGTTTGCAAAATAAGAAATTATCTTTCATTGAGTCAACATCAACATATCTGACGTTTGCGATGGGCTGAGCGCGACCGCTAATGTCTGTCGATTCATCGACCTGCAGGGACAATTTTCCGCACTAACTCGATACCAGCTGACATTTCATCGATACGCCGGCTTATTGTGTTGTCTGAGAGGCACTTTCGCTACTTCTTTGGCTGCATCAGGTCCTATCATAATTCTCACAGTTTCTTTGCAAGCCGGTAAAATCAATGTCTCGGCAATATTGTGAGACTTCTTTGCCTTCGCTACTAGTTGAACGACTAAGATAGCTTGCTCCCTGTGCCTTGTCTGAAACCCTTACAGAATCCCTCATAAAAAGAGTTTGCTTCACGTTCTGCTCCTTCAAGCGCTTAAAGTATTGCACGTCCTTGTCGGCGAGAGACAAATGTTTACCTGCGAAATGGCGTTTCAACTTGCTTGGCACCATCGCGTGGTTGCTCGATTTTTCCCCACACAAGGCATTCTGGTTTCGGATAAGACGCATTGGTAGACCACGAAAATCCGTAGGCCAAGTAACTGTCACTGTTCTGACGTATCACTGACTTAATCCTAATCTTCTAGGCTCCGTTTGATTCGATATTCTCGGAGGAAGACGCAGAGGTCGGAATATGTCTCTTCTGCACAATAGACAAGTACAAAGATCTCACTAAGTGTCGTCGTCTTTAGCGTGCCGTATGTCGGAACGTTCAATCGTGCAGTCAGTGCATCGGAGTCGCTCACTTGTTCCTGCGGTGTTGCCTAATAGCTTGAAGATAAATTTCTCCCATGATTGTTAACAGTTTCCTCGATTCAGAAGTCGATTCCTTATTTCGACTTGGTACCACTTCTACCTACTCTTTTTATGCCTACTCCTGTTGATGTTGAATTCTTCCTAACAGTTTCTGACGGCTTAGGAGTCGTGTGGATTTATGCCTATGCACATTTCTGGGTTGTGTCCGTAGGTCTATAGGCAGAACTCCACACCAACGGAGATGCGTGCGTAGGTTTGCATCCACCACGACTCCGAGGTCACCAAAAC